TTGGGGACCGAGCAGGTTTTTACATCCCTAGGGCCACAAAATCAGCTGTCTGCTTACTTTCTTAAAACATGAATGCATTATTAAATACACAATCAGTATCCATAGCATTGCAATAGAATTGTTTTATTTTCACCACTGCCTAGCAACTGTTTATTATTATTTTTACTGATTCCTCAAATTATTTCTTCACATAACCTTAAAGTTTTAGTTGTCTTGACTTTTAGTCTACATTAATATTGTGGTAAATAGTGGTAATAGGGTATAGTGTGGTGAAAAATAGCGTTCGTACCGCGGACCGAAATGGTTTTGCAACAAAACCTCATTTACGGCCCTAAGTACGAAATATACTATTTAGTTACATAGGTTACATGTTTATCGCCTGCAAAAATTCAGCATTACATTGTTTACTACGGAAAAATAAAGTTTACTATGCGTAAGTAATGTTTACTATCTTTTTTTTTATTTTGCCGACGTAAGCAAACAACGATTTGTTATTGTTTTGTCAACTGTTTCAATTTGCAAATTTGCAACAACCAAAACTGTACAATCAATGTAAATATTCACTTCAAATTAAAGGTATAACCTAAAGATGCTATGAGTTTTGAAATGTTCCTAACTGTAATAAATAAATATCAAGATATATAGATAATCAATATATATAGATAGATCAGATATAGATAGATCAATATATAGATAATAAGATATCAAGATATGTAATCAAATATCCAAGAAATCAGATAATAATTTTTCACCACACTATGATGTTTTAGCTGTTTTACATTCGTTCGTTGGTAGCTGAAATTTACGTTTTTCTGGGCATGACAGGTAACATCGTCATTTGGGGACCGAGCAGGATTTTACATCCCTATGGCCGCAAAATCAGCTACCCGCTTAATTTCTTAAAACATGAATGCATATTAAATACACAATCAGTATTGACACCGCTGCCTAGCAACTATTTATTATTATTTTTGCTGATTCCTCAAATTATTTCATCTCATAACCTTAAAGTTTTAGTTGTGTTGACTATCAGTGTGCATTATTATTGTGGTGAATAGTGGTAATAGGGTATAGTGTGGTGAAAAATATCGTTCGTACCACGCACCGAAATGGTTTACGGCCCTAGATACGAAACATATTAATCTTTGTAGTGTAACGAAAGGTAACATTCTAAACACGAGTGAAAGTGAGTCTATACATATTCTCGACCTTAAAGTGCTCGATAGTATATTTTTTAAAAGTTCAGTGTAGAATTTGTAAAACTCCTATTTTGTGCTAATTTTCTAAAAATAATTGAGCGAAGCTCTTATACGTCGACTTTTATGCATTTCGTAATACGCAAACTCCTCCTAGACGGGTGAATCAATCGTTTTCAAATTTTTATGCATTTCGTAATACGCAAACTCCTCCTAGACGGGTGAATCAATCGTTTTCAAATTTTGCATGGTGATAAAGACCATACCGGTGAGTGCCAACATCTATATGGCGTTAAAAAAGTATCTCGGGAATCCGCCCCACTGGGTCTCAAAATTTCAATGTAATCCTTATGGAAGCAGTATTTGACACATAAACAAAGACATATGATCAGCTGTTGACTTTTGAATGCAGTAGATAAATAAATTGCTGATAGCATTATTCCAGAGATATTAGAACATAAACGGTGGTATGGATCATAAATATAATCAAATGACGACACTAGCTTGAGGTCCGTGACGTAGGAAGTGGTAAAGGAAGTAGTAAAGGTGAGCAGTCTGGAGTGTGGAAACTGTTTAAGGCGATTAGATTTAGGTAGGTATCTGCATTCCTAAAATTCTATGAAAAGGGAGGAAAACGGGTCCGTGACGTAGGAAGTGGTGAAGGAAGTAGTCAAGGCGAGATGTTCGGGGTATGGGATCTATTTATGACCATTAGATTAAGGTATTTGCAATCCTAAAATGCTATGGGAAGGGAGGAAAACAGGTCCGCGACGTAGGAAATGGTGAAGGAAATAGTCAAGGCGAGCTGTCCGGAGTGTGGAAACTGTTTATGACTATTAGATTAAGGTATCTACAATCCTAAAATGCTATGGAAAGGGAGGAAAACAGGTCCGCGATGTACGAAGTGGCGAAGGAAGTAGTAAAGGCGGGGTATGGGATCTGTTTATGACCAATAGATTTAGGTATTTGCAATCCTAAAATGCTATGGGAAGGAAGGTAAACAGGTCCGTGACGTAGGAAGTGGTGAAGGAAGCAGTAAAGGCGAGTTTTTCGGAGTGTGGGAACTGTTTATGACGATTAGATTAAGGTATCTTGGTATCTACAATCTTAAAATTCTATGGGAAGAGAGGGAAAAAGGTCTGCGACTTAAGAAGAGGTGAAGGAAGTAGTAAGGTGAGCAGTGTGGAGTTTGGGAACTGGAAACCGTTTGTAGCAGTTAGATTAATGTATCTGCAATGCTGAATTGCTATGAGAAGGGATGGAAGCATGCCCGCAAAATAGAAAATGGCGAAAGAAGTAGTAAAGGTTAGCAGGGCGGAGTGTGGGCAATGTTTGTGACAATTAGATTAACGTATCTAAAATACTAAAATGCTATGAAAGTGATGAAAACAGGTCCACGATGTAGGAATTGGCTTAGGAAGTAATAAAGTATGGACATATTGTGAGAACCGTCTGTGGCAGTTAGATTAATGTATCCTCAATCCTAAAATGCTATGAGAAGGGAAGGAAACAGGCCCCACGACGTAGGAAGTGGTGAAGGAAGTAGTAAAGGCTGGCAGTGCAAAGTGAGGGAAGCGTTTGGGCAGTTAGATAAATATATCTAATACTTAAATGCTATGAGAAGGGAAGGAAACAGGCCTATGACGTAGGAAATGGTGAAGGAAGTAGTAAGGCTTGCAGTGCAGAGTGTGGGAACTGTCTTTGGCAATTACATTAATGTATCTGCAATCCTAAAATGCTATGGGAAGAGAGGTAAACAGGTCCACGACGTAGGGGGTGGTGAAGGAAGTAGTAAAGGTGGGCAGTGTTGAGTGTGGGAATGGATTAATGTATCTGCAATGCTAAAATGCTATGGGAAGAGACTGGTTAAAATGATGCACGAATCGTTACATATTTCGATACGTATTCAATCGTTTACAATAGAAATGTACAACTGAGTTGACAACAGCTGAGTTTTACTCCATAGAGGCTAAAAACGAATTTTATTCCCTAAAGAGTAAAAATGCTACTTTAGACCCGGAACGAATGCATCAATGACGACTGTTTTTACTGCAGTATGACAAAAACAATATAATATGAACCCTTGATGACTCCGCTCAATTTTGTGGATGCATCTGCGAACGCCACCTAGTTTACTTAACTTTTCAAAAACACAAATATTTGGCGCTTCTAAAGTTCAAACGTCGCTCTACAGTTTTCAATATTCGTACACGTTGTTGTCCGTGTCTCGCGGTGGGTTTGACCGATGACCGCGGAGATTTAACACCATTACAGATGATTGATTATCCAAAGTGGGCAGTGTAGCCGCCTCCCTGCTGAACAGATTGTCATCAAACACTTTGTTCAAAACTATTTTTAAAATGTCTTTAATTGTTTTTATATTTAAATTACACCACATTAAACTAGTAGGCTATCACTGCTATACATGGAATATGTTTAACAGCCCGTAGTATCGTAGTCTATAGTAACTGATTAACTCGTGCAGGGAGAGCATGCAAAAGAGAATTAATCACACAAGAAAATGTTTATTTTAGAGAATTAGTGGGTTCTTCTTCCCACCTAAAACTAATAGAATTCTTTAATCCTATTGTGAGAATCACTCTTCCGTGTATACTATTAAATCTAAAATTGTCAATGTTCATCGATTGATAAAATAATATACTGTAATCAGTAGTTTTTTAATAATTATTTTATTTTAAAAACTATGTTCGTGTAGAACCTCAGGGTAAAAACGATTCCCACTTGGTTCCTGTAGCACCCATTTTGGGGCATACAGAATTCCAGAGAAAAGAAAAAAAACACTTATTTGACTGTCAATTCAAATGAAAATTTAACCAGTTTGTAATAGAACCTTTTTAGTTAATCCCTTGCTCTTGAGCTATTTGGCCTTAAGTCTATTTTAGTTGTTTTCCGTGTATTTTAATGAAATTCTTATATTATTGAAAACATTCAACATCTACAGTAATTTTTTGTAGCTAAAATGCTAGACAAGTTTAGTATCCAACCTTTTTTTTGGGATTATCTGAGTTGTATACGTTAAGAAAATAATTGAAACCCGAAAATGATTGAGCACATCAGTTCACCAATCAACAACAATTGTTGCAGACAAACCAAAGATGAATCGACATACAAAGTTTCACTTCCATTTCCGTCCAAGTTCTCAGTTACCCATTTGTCAATTTTCGCTGATTTACGACATAAAATACAAATATGACAATCTTGTAAAGTGATTAAATGTTTTTTTAATCAAACTTTTACCGGCACACAAAAACCTACTAAATATATTGTATTTAGTGTATTGAAATCTTGTGATTCAAAGACACACTGTATAAACTGCACTAATTGATTACTTCTCCTATCTTGCAATGATAAACAACGAACAGATGACTTGTTCCGCAGCCAATCAAAACAGTGCTGTTAATCTAACGCTTCAATGACGTCAACAATACAGGCTCATCAACTACCGCAACACTAATTTACGTACTTTGACAATACTTGTCACCGTGTTTTAGCTAAGTACTCCTCACTTTAATTAGATTTGGACTTCAAAAACCTTCTCCAGGCAAGGTTTGAACGTCTTTTTTTCGAGCAACCGATTCAACTATTTAATTTTTTAGAGTTTTACCATCCCAATCATATTTCTCGGTCGTTAAAACTTTGCCGACCTTGGTAACTAGGTTGTCTCAGCCGCGTCATCTTATAAATATGGGAGGCGGAAGTAGCGGGAACGGGGTAGGGGGAGACGACTGCCATTCTGTTATCAGCTGGTGGACTGTACTGATAGTGATAGGTGTGGTGTTGTAGGAGAGGAAGTTCAAGAAGGGCTCCACACTCCCTTCCTCCTGGACCTCGACCCTTGGACACCATGATCACCCCAGGGGCCCCAAGGCTGCCGGACCCTGAGCCAAAGCAGAATGGAGTTCACTTCCAAGCCGAGATCAGCAGAAACCGCAGGGACTACAGGGATGAATTGGAAGGTAAGGTTGAATCACGTGACTGAAATAGCAATGTACTTTGGGTACGAATTGTAAGATGAATATGAATGTAGGGAGAGTTAAGAATGAAGTAGATGACTTTATTATTAATTGTTTTTTCCCATTTGAGATGGGGAGGCCAATAGTGCTTATTTTGACCCAAATGTGAGTGAAGGATGGGTCAAGAATGAAGTGTAATGATCTGTGGAGCTTTGTTACTGACTAACATGTGTATAACTGTTTCTGAAGCCAGGGTAATTTATTAAAAACCAAATGATACAGGGCAGCTGGGTCAAATTGTCAACTATTTAAACATGCTGTTAACGTTTTAAGGAATAAACTAGCAGAACTTTTGATTGCTAGGAGAGCACTTTATCCACTCAGCTGGTCAGCTACAAGTGCTTTGTGAATTCGAAAATTTTTATTTTCTCAACCACGAATACTAGAACAGAAACTGTTTGGAAACATAAACAAATGATGTTACTGGCCCGAAAGTGAACATTGCTTAAATGGAGCTGTCTAAAACCATATGTTAATGTTATTAGTATATGATTTGGGCCAGTTACGTAATTTGTTTATGTATATGATCCATACGGTTTTCTTTTCTAATATCCATGCCTACAACCCTACATAATTGAATTACTTCCACATTGAGCATCCAGAAAAGGGAATTCAATGAATTAAACATCCATAATTGAAATTCATCTAGTAATAAATACAGAGATGAATAATTAATTTAATACTGCATAGTAAATTATACAATAACGAGGAGACCCGTGCGCAAATTTCGCAATTTAATGTGGTTTCAAAACGTTTCCAAGGGAAAAATTATCCAATCCATTTTTACTTTGAAAGATTATATTTTAAGACATTATATTTATTTATTTTTATTTTAGATATACACCATAATAGCGATTCATCTCCCCCAATCAGGTTGCAGTAATCGAAAAATATCCCATTTAAAATCCACGTCAATAAACTGTTTCGTCTCTTGTTTATAATCTGACTGGGTTAAATATTTAACTGAGGGATCAGCTGTTCATATCCAAACCGTTATAAAGGAAGTTGGTCAGCAACACTGAATCTTTGAAAGTCAACTCTAGAAACAAATAGCTCAAAAGAATTACCAATATATCGTACCATTCGTCCATTTGCTGGATCATAGGATTTAAAATGACACCTCAACTTAAAAAAATCTTTTCAATAGGACGGCTAGAAAAGGGATGTAAAAGAGAACCCCCTTTTTTAAGTGTATAGATATTAAATATTATGGTATGAGTTTTTTTTTATCGACCATAATACAGGTTCAAAAGTTAACAGCGAATTAAGATTATTAAATTAAATTATTGTTTAAATAATTATTAAATTAAATTATTGTTTAAATAATTATTAAATTAAATTATTGTTTAAATAATTATTAAATTAAATTAAATTAAATTAAATTATTGAATTAAATTAAAATTAATCGGTTAATGAAATGACTTTTTCAAATACTATACAGTTTTACGATACAAGTAGTATTCAAGTTGCTACCATAATACTAAACACTAAATGACTTCCCCACAATATGTATTTACGAAGGCGGGTTAGAGGGGCCAGTCAGATCTTTTAAAAAAATACTTTTAAACCTAAAATTTATTTAAACATTTACCCATATTTTTTCTATCAGCTTTTGATATTGTCGAATTAAATATTACTGTAAAAAATTACGTGCTGTGGTCAGTTTGAATAGGTTTCTTTAGCCCTTTAAGGAGCAAAACGATACATAATGTATTTTACTGATTTATGATGACTTCAATCCCTACCCCTTCTATTTTATCATAGTCTATTTTCATCCATACAAGTCTGATGATCTGCTGATACATAATTCAATTAAGTTTACTATTGCATTTCAAATATGTTTGAGTTACAGTAACAGTATTCAATTACGGGAAAGAAACTATTACGTGGAAAAATTTAACTTCCAATAGCCTGGGACGGTGGCGTCTTCCTGTAATCCTGCTACTAGGAGGCCACGAAATGTGGGTATTTATAGGCATGCACTGTGGATGCGATACTCCCTGGTGCGGATTTACGTCCGCACTAGTGAGTACTAAGACTATCCGCAGTACTATCCTGATAATTCGACCAATTCGTTAATACCAAGGCAAACCTGTGGTTCGGATTCCACTATAAATTGTAGGTCCCTTAGTTTCCATTAGCTGTATGGGCTATGAATTAAAAGCTGTGTCTAAGGAGTATGCTGGCCTTAGTCACTAACAAGACTACAAGATCGCACCACTCATCCTACACTTATGCCCATTCAAACTTGCCTTAAAATACCTACTTTGTTGCCATTCCAATGAAAATGATTAAAAAATATTAAACTATTAAAGTTATTATTGCTAGATGGATCCAAATACTTAAACAAATGCTGCAGTCTGCGTCTAGAAGCTACCTAGTCTAAGTGCTTAGTTTTCTGGACTGACAATATCATGTCATACAAAAATAGATAGGGATCGTCAAATGTGATTGCTAACAGCATGTTTAGAGTTATGACCTTCTAATTTGAATATGACTAGCAATGTATAATTAAATACCCAAATATTTAACTGAAATAATATTCTAATCATAATGATTATATTAATAAAAACAGTCCAGGAGGAATGCTCAGCTTTCAAATTTTGGTAAATTTTGAACCAATAAAATCATCTGTATGCGCCAGAACCTATGGTAACTATGGTAACCACTGCACAGCTGACAGTCCATATTTAATTATTTTTTTCTATGCTATTACGCGCTAACTCCAGCTGTAAGGATAGCATCTTGCTTTCCTCTAGTCATAAGTTAAACACCTCTTTTGTTTAGGATCGGTTTACAATCAGCTGTGATATTTATTTATTCTTTTTTGTTTATGTTTACGATTTCCGTTGTTATTTCGTTGCCAAAGTAGTAACCATCAAGGCTCATTGTTAAAAGAGTTTTAGTCTTTCAATTTCCTTTTTTTATTAGATTTTCGTTGTCAGTTATGACTAGTCTACATGAAACACGTTTTTAGGCCAGAAATCATTATTTACAACATTTGAAGGAAACCGTCGAAGCCGTTTTCGTGATCTTTGTGCAAGCATACATACATTTAAATATTCTTCGTATGTATAGGAATAGGATACTCTTTTTTTTTCTCTTAAAAGAATATAGTAAAACATTTAATTTTCTGGAACTTTCTTGAAAATGTCGAACAAATTTAAAATGGTTCTGTTATCTTGTAATCATTACTTTTATACGCTATTTTAAGCCCAAACAACCTTTTCATAAGAATATTAAAATTGTAAAATTATTTAACGACCTAATTTTTTACCTATGTTAAAAAATAATCTGAAAAGTGTACAAATTAGGTTGTTTACCCGTGATATGCAATCGATGATTATCGACGAAGATTTTTGATCATTAACAAGAATCAATAGCAATAACAAATTTGTTAAACTGTTACACCATTGGTGATTTGGTAAAAATTTGCCAAAGTATGATCAATAATTACAGTTTCACATACCAAAGGTGGAATAACATTAAATCATTTCAAGATCGTATCAATATTAACCAACGATTTGTCTAAACAAAAATACAAAAAAGCAAAGTTTACTAACATAACACAGCTTTTGGCATAACAGTTAATAAAGTGGACTCCAAGCAATTTGTTTGTTGTAAATATTAACATCGCTCCAGATTTTTTTTTTCAATTTTTAACATAAATTAGGGTTAGAAGATTTTACTAAAAATCTTGACAGAATGAGACATTTAAGTATAAGAATAAGTTGGTTATTTTTTCACTTCCATGTTTTCTTGGTTGATGCAGATATTTTGTGTCATTTTCAAATTTAAAATGACATTTGGTAAAAGTATTTGTAGAAGAGAAATTGCGTTTAAAGTAGCCGTTTCTTAGAAGTTCTTAGACTTGAAAGGATTTTCATAACAGCATTGTTAACTTTAGAACTTTAGAGAAGAAGTAAAATTGTAATCATTCGAGCTTCAAATAATCAGCTGTTCAGGGCAATTTAATTGTTGAGTGGTGCAATTAGTGTTTGGTACAATGTTTCGTCGCATCACTGTCAGTGGCAATGAGAGGTTATAAACGAAAACATAACCTCTCTTAGAAGTTATGAGTATTGATTTTAGTAATTAAAATACTATCGTAGGTAAAGTAGTGTACGCAACTCGCGTAAATAGTGCTAACGACACTATCTTTACGTAATCGTAGCGTAAACTACTTCATATACTTCAATTGACCTACCGAAGCAAAGTGTTACCGTCAAAGAACATACCTTACTTTAAGGGTGGATTATTGCAAACTATAGTTTTTTATGCCTCATAAATTCTATATACTATAATGATTTAACAAATACAAAATAAAATCACACTAATTGTACAGCTCTCACTGAGAAGCGCTTTCAACAATGTAGACGTTAAGTTGAAAAACTACTTTAGTACCTTCAGTAGGCAAAGTTTTATCAGTAATAGTTTGGGTAGCCTAACTTAAACTTTCAGAGTTTTATTTCGTACTTATATTTACACATTCCATACATTTTTTTTTGTTTTTTTTCGCAATTTTCCTAAATCTTTTGAAATATTGTTCAGATTGGAGATTAAATATTTTTCTCTCCGTCACAGAAATTGTTGTGGACTTAAAAAGAATGTCTAAATAATGGTCTAATGGTTTTCAAGAATTAATTAATTTTATTAAAACTTTAAAACCCGGCTGACAAACATATGATTATTCCGATCTAAATTACTTTTCACGATGAAAAGTCTTCACTCTAAGATATCATACTCGAATCGAGAAAGTACCAATAAGCGCATTAAATAATCACAAATTAAGAAATTAAAGCATCAATAAACTGCAATAACCCTGAACTTAAGTTTTTTTAGATATATTGAAATGAAATACCGCCGGCACTTCTGCAATGTTGACAATGACCTGATTAAAATTCTGACGATAGCTTTTTTGTCCAAAGTTTCCCTCTATATTA